AACGAGCACATGGATCTTGGCAGAGGGAGTTCATACTAGTAGTGCCCAAACAGTCATCTCAACCATCAGCTTCATTAATCTGCACAACTGAATCAGGGTACACTCTGACCATGGAGTTCTGTGGTGTGCAGAACTCCTGATTCAGATTCTCAAACAAGGAGTTTTGTCAGCCCTAGGGCCCAGTTTGCCTACACCCAGGGAAGGATCTGAATCATAGCCCCATCCAGTGAAGAGAGTGTCTTCCAGTCTCCTCGACCAGAAGGACTGGAAAGAACTCCTGGAAGCTGTGTAGCCAAGCACAACTTGAGCCAAGAGGCAGGAGGGCAGAGCTGATACTTTGCGGAGCAAAGCCAGTGGCCCTGTTTAGTCAGGCAACTTAGGGTGTGGGTCATCTTGAGGTAAGACAACAAACAAAGGGCTTTACTAGCTTTAGAGCTGCTTCTCCTGCTGCACCCAGGCAGGGAATCTAATCCATTGTCCTGCTCATCACTGAATACAGCCTTCGGCTAGTCCAACCAGACCACAGGAAGTTTCATAGCCCATTCAACAGGCCTATGTGACCATATGTTAGGCAAGAAAACAAGTCTTAGTAAGTACATGAAGATTGAAATTCTACCAATTATCTTCTCTGACCACATGGCATGAAATTAGAAATCAGTAACAAAAGAAAAACTGGAAAATTCATGAACATATGAAAATTAACACTCTCCTGAACAACCAATGGATGAAAAAATAAATTAAAGAGGGGAAAAAAGTTTCTTGAGACAAACAAAAATGAAACAAAACATACCAGAACTTATGTGATGCAGCTAAAGTAGTTCTAAGAGGGAAGTTCATAGCAATAAATGCTACGTTAAGGAAGGAAGATCCTAAATAAACGACCTAACTCTACACTGTAAAGAACTAGAGAAAAAAACAAATGAGCCAAAAGCAGAAGAAAGGAAATAATGAAGATCAGAGTAGAAATAAATGAAATAGAGAAAAAAATGGAAAAGATTAACCACACTAAGAACTGGTTCTTTGAAAAGACAAACAAAATCGACAAATCTTTAGCTAAACTAACCAACAGAAAAAGAGAAAGAACCCAAATCAACAAATTATAAATGAAAATGGAGACACTACAACTGATACCACAGAAATTCAAAGGATCATAAAAGGCTACTAGGAGCAACTCTATGCCAACGTAGTGGACACCCAAGAAGAAATGGAAACATTCATAGAAACATATAACTTGCCAAGACTGAATCAGGAAGATTTTGAAAATCTGAATAGACCAATTATTAATAAGAAGATTGAATTAGTAATCAAAAATCTCCCAATAAGAAAAGCCCAGGACCAGTTGGCTTCACTTGTGGATTTTACCAAACATTTAAAGGAAAATTAACATTAATCCCTCCTTTCAAATTCTTCCCCAAAATCCAAGAGGATGGATCACTCCCAAACTCATTTTATAAGGTAATCATTACCCTGATACCAAAACCAGAAAAGGACATTACTAGAAAAGAAAACTATGGGCCAATATCCCAGAGGAACACAGATGTAAAAATTCTGAATAAAATACTAGCAAACAATATTCAGCAGCACATTAAAAGGATCATTCACCATGATCAAGTGGGATTTATCCCTGGGATGCAAGGATGGTTCAACATATGCAAATCAATCAATGTGATATATCACATTAATAGAATGAAAGAAAAGAATCATATGGTCATCTCATTAAACATTGAAAAAGCATTTGACAAAATTCATTATCCATTCATGCTAAAAACTCTTGACAAATTAGGCACAGAATGAATATATCTCAACATAATAAAGACCACGCGTGATGAGCCCACAGCTAACATCATCTATATGCTGAAAGGTTGAATGCTTTTCCTCTAAGATCAGGAACAAGGGCGTCTACTCTCACCACTCCTATTCAACAGAGAAATGAAAGATCTCTATTCTGAAAACTGTAAGATACTGATGAAAGAAATCAGAGAAGACACAAATAAATGGAAATGTATCCTGTGTTCATGGACTGGAAGAAGTAATATTGTTAAAATGTCAGTACTACCCAAAGCCACCTATAGACTCAATGCAATCCTATCAAGATTCCAGTGGCCTTTTCTACAGGAGTAGAAAAACCCCTCCTAAAATATATATGGAATCACAAAAGACCATAAATAGCCAAAGAAATCTCGAGAAAGAAGAACAAAGCAAGAGGTATCATACTCCCTGACTTTAAGCAATGCTATAAAGTTAAAGTCATCAAGATAGTACAGTACTGGCATAAAAACAAATAGACCAACAGAACAGAACAGAGAGCCCAGATATAAACTCAACCATATATGGTCAACTAATATTTGACAAGGATGCCAAGAATACTCAATGTAGAAAAGACTCTTCAATATTCACATGTAAAAGAATGAAATTGAATCCATATATTACAGCACTCATAAAAATTAATTCAAAACAGATTAAAGAGTTTAATGTAAGACCTGAAACCATGAAACTCCTAGAATATAGAATAAAGCTTCTTGACAGGGGTCTTGGCAATGATTTTTTGGATATGATACCTAAAGCACAAGCAAAAAAATAAAAAATAAGTTAGTGGACTATATCAAACTAAAAAGTGTACAGCAAAAGAAACCATCAACAAAGTGGAAAGACCTATGGAATGGGAAAAAAATATTTGTAAACCATATACCTGGGAAGGGGCTAATAACCAAAATATATAAAGAACATGTAACTCAATAGCAAAAAAAAATATCAAGTAACCCAATTAAAAAATAGGCAAAGATCTTAAACAGACATTTCTCCAAACACATATGAAAGACCAACAGGCACATGAAAGATGCTCAACATTACTAGTAATTAGGAAAATGCAAATCAAAACCACAAAGAGATATCACCCTACACCTTTTAGAAGGCCACCCTCAAGAGGACATGAGATAACAAATACTGGAGGGGATCTGGAGAAAAGGGAACCCTTGTGCACTGCTGGTGTGATTGCAAATTGGTGCAGCCACTGTGGAAAACAGTATGGAGGAGACGCAAAAATTAAAAATAGAGCTACCATATGATCTAGCAATTCCACTTCTAGGAATATATCCAAAGGAAATGGAAACACTAACTTGAAAAGATATCTGTACCCCCACGTTCATAGCAGCATTATTCACAATATCCTAAACATGGAAACAACCATCAGTGGATGAATGGATAAAGAAGATGTGGTATATACATACAATGGAATGTTGCTCAACCATAAAAAAGAATGAGAGCTTGCCATTATAACAACATGAATGGACTCAGGATATTAATCTAAGTGAACTAAATCAGACAGGAAAAGACAAATACTATATGATCTCACGTATATGTGGAATCTAAAAAAAAGAAAAATGACAGACAAAGAGATTAGACTTGTAACCAGAGGTGGAGGGTGGAGGAAGGGAGAATCAGAGGAAGGTGGTCAAAAGGTGTAAACTTTGAGTTATAAGATAAATAAGTACTAGGGATGTAACGTGCCTGATAACTATAGCCAACACTGCTGTGTGATATAAAGAAAAGTTGTTAAGAGAGTAAATCCTAATAGTTCTCATCACAAGGAGAAAAAATTTTTTATCTTTTTCTTTTCTTTTTAATGTATCTATATGAGAAGATGGATGTTAGCTGAACCTATGGAGGTAATCAGTTCACAATATATGTAAATCAAACCATCATGCTGTGTACCTTAAACTTACACAGTGATGTATGCCAATTATTCCTCAATAAAACTGGGAAAAAAAAAAAAAACAGAACTACCATATGACCCAGCAATTCCACTTCTAGGTATTTAATTGAAGACAACAAAAATACTAAGTCGAAAATATATATGCACCCCCATGTTCAGGGCAGCATTATTTAGAATAGCCAAGACATGAAAACAACCTAAGTGTCCATCGACAGATGAATGGATAAAGAAAATGTGGTATAACTATACAATGGGATATTATTCAGCCAGAAAAAAGAATGAAATCTTGCCATCTGCAACAACATGGATGGATCCTGAGGGCACTGTGCTAAGGGAAATAAGTCAGACAGACAAATACTGTATGATCTTATTTATATGTGGAATTACATTTTTTAAAAAAGAGCTCATACATACAAAGAACAAACTGGTGGTTGCCAGAGGCAGGGGGTAGACGAAATGGGTGAGGGTGGTCAAAAGGAACAAACTTCCAGGTATAAAATAAATAAGTCATGAGGATATAATGTATAGTGTGGTGACTCTTAGTTAATAACACTGTATCGGGTATTTGAAAGTTGCCAATCTTAAAAGTTCTCATCATAAGAAAAATAAATTTTGTAACTATGCATGGTGACAGATGTTAACCAGACTTATTGTGGTGATCATTTTGCAATACATTTGACCCTTGAACAACATGGGTTTGAACTGTGTGGGTCTACTTATATGTGGATTTTTTTGATAAGTACAGTATAGTCTAGTAAATGTATTTTCTCTTCCTTATGATTTTCTTAATATTTTCTTTCCTGTGGCTTACTTTATTATGAGAATACAGTATATAATACATATAACATGCAAAATAAGTGTTCATTGACTGTTTATGTGATCGGTAAGACTTCGAGTCAACAGCAGGCTATTAGCAGTTACATTTCTGGGGAGTCAAAAGTTATATGCAGATTTTCAACTGCACGGCATGGTGGTGGGGGGCAGTGGTGGTCAGCAGCCCTAACCCCCATGCGGTTTCCAGGTCAACTGTATATACAAATATCAGATAATTATGTTGTATGCCTCGAATTAGTGTAATGTTATATGTCAATTATATCTCAATTAAAAAAAGAAGAAAATTAGACTAAGAAATGTAAGACCAAATTTTGTTTTCTGAATAGTTGTGACACCTGTTAATGTTATGTGTTAGTTACAGTGAGCTATAACAACACCTCCAGTTAGACGGAATCCAAGTCAGTTGAGGACAGAAATCCCCACAGAAGCCCGTGTGCCCGGGGCGAATGCTTACGCTGTATTGCTCGGAGCCGAGGAATCACTGTGGGGCTACTGGGTGGACTTGAGCCGTTGCTGTTCAAACTCTTCCGTTTGTCCAGGTTGGGAGAGGCCTGGACGGTGATTTTATGCTGGAAATCTGTTGGATACGCAAAGAAGTAAGAATTGAGATTTCATGGTTTTAGGCTCTATATTCACAGGCTCTTCGTCAGCACAAAGCAATAAGAGGAAAATCTGCCAGAGGGTAAGAAGGAAGCATCTCTGGGTCTGTTTCTTGGTTTCCTTCTTATCTTCCATTCAGGGCTCGAGTCAATAATAATCAGAGTCTATGAGGGTGCCTGGGTGGCTCAGTGGTTGAGCATCTGCCTTCGGTTCAGGTCGTGATCCCAGGGTCCTGGTATCAAGTCCCTCATCGGGCTCCCTGCTCTGCGGGGAGCCTGCTTCTCCTCTGCCTCTGCCTCTCTCTGTCTCTCGTGAATAAATAAATAAATAAAATCTTTAAAAAAAATAAGTCTAGGCTATGTTAGGTACAGTCAGACACATGGTCACAGACCAATGGGACACTATTGAGTACTTGTAGAACCTAACCATCTTCTAGGAAGAAAAGTTACCTTCGTGTAGTCTAACATTGTGGAAAACAAATTTGAAAGAGGAGACACCTTGGATTTCAATGAGTCCTGGTTCTGTCATGAACAAAGTATGGACCTCAAACCATAAGGACCCCTCTGAGCTTGTCTCCTCAACTGTTGGACAGAAACAACGAATACTGCACAGTGTTGCTGTGGTGATTAAAACAGAAAATGCAGGTTACAGGGGGTTCGGGACATGCTATCCCCCAAAACACTTCCCTTAACCTATCACATTTCTTCATGACCATCCACTCTTCATCAAACCTAGTAGAAAAATACTCCGGTCTGTTTCTTTAGGTCTTCATTTCCTTACTAAGTCTCCCCTGTTGTATCAAACTTATGTTAAATAATTTTTATGCTTTTTTTCCCCCCGTTAATCCATCTTTGACAGTCTGATTTTCAGACCCAACCAGGGACCCTAAGAGGGTCCAGGAAAACTCCCCCAACCCTGTCCCAGTTAAAAGCATTCTGTAGTTCTTTGACCTAATGGTAAGATGGGCACCTGTTGTGGAAGTGAATGCCAACAACTAGGAATATATGGAAGGACGAGGTAATATTACCAGAGGGGAGAAGAGAGTGCCTGGGAAAACTCTGTCAACTGTTGGAAAGTTATCAAAACCTCAGGCACAGGTAAAAGAAATTACTGGGTGTTCTTTCAGTGCACTGCTCAGCTTAACCTTTGATTTTCTAGTGGCTGTTTTTACAACTTGGTAGGGGGCAGAGGGTAACTTGTAGATTCTGTCTGGTAATGATGCAAACAATTTCCGTCTGGTGTGAAACACAATCCCAAAGGTTATGGTTTATGGCCACCCTGGGCCCTAACCAGGTTTGTATTTAACCTAGCAATCTAACCCTAACATTCCCTCATTAACTTGCCCACAAATACTTAGCTCCTCAAATTCTCATTGAACCCAATTTTAACTGGTTGTCCTAATTATTAGTGAGTTGGATAAAAATCTTTGACACGCATTCATTTCATATTTGCAAGCAAGCTATGATTTTCCTTTTTGAAAATTATACTTTACACTGTTAAGAACTTTAAAGAACCAGCTGGTATTTGAAATGAGGATGAGTTGTAATTCCGTAAGCAAGACTTCTCTCCAATCATTCATGCTGGACATCTGAAAATGTTTAATATTGTCTTCTTATCCCTGACCCTCCATATCCATGCAAACACAAAATATGTTGCCAATTCTGTGTTATAGATTCATCTGAGAGTTATAGTTGAGAAATTTATACTCTAGCTTCTGGAAGTAGTAAACTCCACATGTGAATCCCAGCTTAGCACTTACCAGCCACATGAATTTTCGGGAGGCACCTCAGTATCTCCATGTACAAAAGTGGGAAACAAATCACAGTCCTACTTTGCAGGGCAGTGCTGAACAATTAACTATAAAGAAACACAGGGAATACTCGGCTCGGGGCTCCTGACAGGCTCTGTGCTGGACGCACGTTAGCGATTCTTTTTGTTCTCTGCACCGCCACTGCCACCCCCGTTCGATGAGCGGCCCTAGTTCCTCTTTTGATCTTGCATCTGCACTGGGCCCCTCGGGTCTAGCTCACAGCAGCCAGATGCATTTTAAAAATGTATGCCACCCCACGTCATTCCCCTGCTGACAAGTCTTCAAAGGCTCTGCCTTACTTCTTAGGTTACAGAGATCAAAACCATCATACACTCTGTAAGCCCCTCAAGTTTGAGTCTGGCTCTTCGTGCCTCCAGCTTCATCCTGTCCTGTTCTCCCATCACTTGCTATGGTCTGAACCCGGGGTCAGCAAACTTTTACCATAAAGTGCCACAGAGGAAATATTCTAGGCACCGTGGGCCACACGGCCTCTGTCACAGCTACTCAAATCTGCCAATGTAGCGAGAAATCAATCGTTCGCGATACATAAATGCGTTCCAATCCAACTTTATTTATAGAAATGGCAATTTAAATTTCATATGTTCACATGCCATGCCATATTGTTCTTTTTTTTTTTTCCCATTTATTTGACAGAGAGAGAGACACAGCGAGAGAGGGAACACAAGCTGGGGGAGTGGGAGAGGGAGAAGCAGGCTTGCCACTGAGCAGGGAGCCCGATGTGGGGCTCAATCCCAGGACTCTGGGATCATGACTTGAGCCGAAGGCAGACGCTTAACGACTGGGCCACCCAGGTGCCCCACATATTGTTCTTCTTATTCTTTTCAAGTGTTTAAAAGTGCACAAACCTTTCCGTGGACTGCACAGAATGGGTGGGGGGCTGGACTTGCTGACCCCCCACAAACCACAGCGGTCTTTTTCAATTCCTGGGAGGGACCAAGCCTTCTACGTTCTCCTTAGAGCAGGTGACACCTCTCTGCTAATCAGTCATGTGACCCTGCCCTCATAGTAGTTAATCATCTTAGCAAGTAAATAAGTATTTAATTATTAGCTTAGGGCTCACTCCCCTACCCCCAGAACAACGTCAGCTCTGTTTGGGCAGAGGCCAGAAATCTCCATCCCAACAGCACCCCACTGTGGGCTGGCACAGTGCCTCACCCAGAAAAGGTACTTAGGGAATCTCTGCTGAGTCAGTATTTTCTCTGTTTAAGATTTTAAGTACCGTAAGGGCAGAGATTGTATTTATTTTCTTGTAATCCCTACTACTTGATCATGGTAAATCCGTGAGTATTTGTTGAATGAGAAGATGGTGTAAGGCTTTGCAGTAGAATCAAACTGGAGCTTACAGTAAACTGCTGAGATATATATAGCAGGGTGTATGGTGGTTTGGTGGTTTGGAAGACAAAGCGAGTGGAAATGAAGGACCACATAGGAGGCTTCTTCCATCTACCAAGTAAGAAAAATGGAAGATCTGACCAGGCAGAGCAGTTTAAGTGAAGAATGGGTGCAAGAAAACAGTTTAGCAGGACATGGGAATGGACTGGATTAGGAGGGAGGGGAAAGAGTAAAAGAAATAGCCTTACCCATCAATACAAAAGAGTTTATTTTAGATTGAAGTGCTTTGTGAAAGTGCAACTAGCCCATGACATGTCATAACACTCTGGAAGCAAATTCTCCGAGAGACTCCAGCCCAGGGCTGAAGGCGGGCGTGCTCTTGCCGCCCTCAGAACTAGAACACAGAGCCAACCCATAGCATGTGAACCATAAACCAAGTGGAATCGACGATGGCCAGGCAACCAGCATAGAACATTTGTGAGGCCAAGGAGGAGTAGCAAAGATACAAAACTGGATTTCAACAATACCTACTTCTAAAAAAGTCTAATTTCTCTCCCTCAAAAAAAGGGCACTCTTTATGTTTTTAAACATAGAGAAAATATTTCTTATTAAAATATCCTTGTCCCTATAAAGTGGGGAAAGGTTGACTCTGTCCCAGTTATATGCTTGTGAATGAAACTGGCTGGTGTTATTTTTCTTTGTACTTGAGAGAATAATTTTCTCGTGACCGATTATCGCGAGGTCCACAGGCTTTTGGGTAAAACCTACACTAGTATTTTTATTGGCAATGTTTCATGATAGTCTTAGAGGGAATAATCATTTTGACCCTGAATGTAGTTGTATTTGCATGTACATACACCCACTCTCACATTCGCACACATGAGGGGGATGATTGTGGCAGACTTTTGGCATTTCTGAAGTGGTTGAAATTGGAATGCCATTGCTTTAGAAACATTTTGAAGGCTTCAAAACCTCTTTGCCTTGTTTTATATGTTCTAAAAATACAACTTTGGTTTAAGATAAACATAATGCAGTGCTCACTTCGGCAGCACATATACTAAGATAAACATAACGCAGAGCGAGTGGTGGAAAGTGGTCACAATAGAAAAATATCTACCCTGATCACTTTTTCCTCCTGCAAATTCCAAGAATTCATAAAATATAATGTAGAAACTCTTGTCTTAGATTATGTTGCCTCCTTTTGTAAGCATCTATCCTTATTTGGTTAGGCCCCCATGAAGGACTGCCAGTGGGAAGAACTACATTTGAGTTTTCTAGCAGTCATCAAAGCTGTAACTAGCCATAAGATTAAAAGTCATCTTCAGTGATTCTGAAGGACAAAATTATGATGAGATAATTATTCGCACTTAATAACAAGGTTTTGAAAGAGGTACAGGTTACAGATACTAAAAGCCACTTTGTAGGAGTCTCAAATATGTTTCTGAGAAAATCTTTAAGCTAGTTACACATGGGGAAAATTCCTGCAAAAGGGGTTGGAGTAATTTGGTACAATGAAAGGAAAGTATCACTGCCATTCAACCTACTGCCTGTCAGATGTTTCTTCCTTAATAGTTTACCACTAAATAGTACTAACATCTGGAAAATCAAAGAATTTTCTAGCAGTTAGTAACTTTCTGGAACTTAAGGCACAAATAACTGCTTTCCCTTCTACACGAAGCAAAATTCCTGAAGGAGAAAAATAAGTATTGTTATAGTTGCCATTCTTTTCCTTGGATCTTTGGATATGTATCCTGCTTTGGGACATTGTGCAAGTAAATGTGTGTGTGTGTGTGTGTGTGTGTATGCGTGTATATGTGTGTGTGTGGGAGGGTGAAGAGTTGGCGGATTCTAAAGAGAAACAGTTTCCACAGTGCTAACAGTGTGACAACAATGTAGCATCACCTTGTGGCCAGAAGAGGTAAATGCCATGCTAAATTATGGCAACTGAATTTCATTCCTTCAAGATGGATTCGGATTATAGAAGATTTTGAGGGGTATGTTTTAAATGGAATCATTTGTTAAGTGCTACAAGGTAAATAAATGTGTAACTAAAATTCTCAAAGAGAGAAAAGCCAAATAGTGCAATCCAGGAATAATATAAATCTAGCAAAAATAGTCAAATGCATTCAGTTTCCTTTGAATGAATACAAGATATTGGCCAAACATGATTTGAGAAGAAAAACAGGAGTGAAAGTGACCTCAGTAATCCTGAGATATGTTCTTTAATCATTTGACCACTGAAGATTAAAAAATCACTGGTATGATTTAATTTTTTCTCCCAAGTTTATTCTCCATCAGTTTCTTATTGGCCACCCCCTCCAAAGTTTCCCAAGGAATCAGCGAATATTAATCAGGATAACATAGTCACAACAAGCTAGAAGGCTGGCTGATATAGCTAAGAACTGGAGAAAATGCACATGGGAGCGCCTCTCTGAATTTTTCTATCATCTACACTTGAAAGCAGAAACCTCATCATAAATAAAATAGTCTATTTTAAATTATGTCTGATATACAAGATAGCACAGTTCGTGGTCCCCCAAGTTACACTTTGGCTAAAAAGCAAATCTGAAGAGAAGAGAACCTGAAAAAGTATCTTTTTTTCCCCTCAGAGAGGTCAAAGGTAAGAGTAAGGACCCACAGCCTAGTCTCACTTCAGCAAACCAAATAATAATGTACACTGTATAGTGCCACATATCAGCGATTTTCTGATCAACTGAGGGTTTCTGCAATAACCTAGAAAGTCACAGTATGTTGCAAGCCTTCAAGTACTTTGTAATAAATAATTTTACAAGACAATTTGTACATACTTTATATATAAAACAAAACTGTTGATACTGTTATTTAAAAGCAGTTTTCATGCCATTAACAAACATCTTAGGACAACACTAGTATCCTTAAAGAGCCTCTATAATACATATAGAGAGAGGTGGAGAAATAAGGAGAACAGATAAATAGATATTTAATGCACATTCCGTAAAAGTGCAGTCAGCTCTTGTTCTGTCACCATTCTTCCCCAGTATTAGAAGAATCATAAAATACGGGGGCAGGAGAGGGGTGTTTGGTTTTTCCTTAAATCAAGTATAACATGCATTGTTAAAGAATTTAATTTCGCGAATGGATCTATGTTTGCTATTTTCTATTCCGTTTAGTTTCTTCTAACACATTAAAAATGTTTAAAACTGTCACAATGTTTTAAAATCCAGGAGGTATAAAAATGAACCAGTAAATCTAGAGAAGCTTTTAAAAATACTTGCATCTCAGATGAAAACTGACAGGTATGTAATTGAAGCACCTGATATATTTTGTTGAAGGTGCAAACATCTTCAATGTCCCAAATGAACTCAGTTACCAGATGACATTATAGATCTTTGTGGAATGACAAAATAGCAGTAATTCTGTTGTTCAGGATTTTTTCACCATGCCATGCAATGCTGGTTCAGTGCATTGAACTAAGAAGAAATCCTGCTTTGATTTTAAAAGGAGTAAATCTCTGAATCCCTTTACAGGAAAGCATGCCAAGAGCTAACTTCTCAGCACACCATGTGCTGTAAAGGCACGACTGACGCTTTTTGCACGTGAACGTGAGTTAGGTCATTATCTTATGACCACGAACTTAAGCAAGCAAGTGAAGATACTTATTCACATAATGTTTCATTTTTTTAAAAGATTTTATTTATTTGAGAGAGAGAGAGAGAGAGATCACAAGCAGGGGGGAGAGGCAGAGGGAGAAGCAGACTCCCCGCCGAGCAGGGAGCCCGATGTGGGGCTTGATCCCAGGACCCTGGGATCATGACCTGAGCCGAAGGCAAATGCTTACGACTGAGCCACCCAGGCGCCCTTCACGTAATGTTTTAAAATCTCATTCTCCCATCTCTTCCCAGTGCTAAAGAAGCAAAGCCGATTACAGAGACGACATTCAAAACTCTTACGAAACAAGAGGACGAAAATCATACCTGAAGGTAAACTGATTCGATGGCCATCTTTGAGCTTTAACCGACTTCTCCTGAACTTTCCCTTCCTCTTCTTGACATTGGGCTTCTCCTGGTTTAACTGGAATATCAAAATGTTTAGCTCCCGCTCGAGCACGTCGATCTCCCGCTCGGCGAGCTGCCGCTCCCGCCGCCGGAGCAGCGCCTCCTGGGACTTCTGCTGGAGGGCAGCCCTGGTCAGTTCCTCCTCGCGGGACCGCAGCTCCTGGGGCAGAGAGCACACCTGGCGTCAGCAAGAAGCTGGGTCTCCCGCTCTTCGGCTCAACCCCGGCCACTCCTGGGCTCCTGGGACCGCACTCCTGGTGGGTAGGACGGTCGGAGCGCAGATCTTTCTAGCACGGCACTGACTTAGACGACAACGAAAGCCTTGCACGGGCTCCAGCAAGCGCTCTCAGTCTTACGGTCCTCAAAAATTTTTTACACCCGATTTTAACATTTCTCTCTCACCTCTAGCCTTTATAATATAATCACCTGGCACATAAGATGTACATTAACATAGAGCAACAAAGTACAGGTGGGAACGACCCTTTTCCAAATAAAGCCAAAAGTTAAAGCTCGACTAATTAAAGGATAATTATTCTCCTTACAAAAGACTGCAGTTCAGATTTCTTTGGAAGAACTTCTTTAGGTTCTTTAAGAATTTGCTCAGAGATTGAAACATCATGGTGGAGAGGTTTAAGGAAGAACAAAGCTAAGGTGTTGGAAGTCAGCTGAAGGCCCATCAGAAATGAAAATGAGCATCTCTAACATGAAAAGTCAATGGAAAATGAACTTTTCAGGACCCCATGGATAAATGCAAAGTGTCAGGTTATACACAGATCTCATGTATTAGCTCATAAAATCCTTCTGCCTCAATGCTTCCTGATTAAAGTCTAACTTCCTCTTGGTTTTGGTTTCAGAATTATTTAACTTCATAGAAAAATCTATGAATTGAAGAATATAGTTAATCCTTGAATAATATGGGGTTAGGAGCACTGACTCTCCCCTCACTGGGCCATCTAAAATCTATAAATAACTTTTGACTCCCCAAAAACTTAACCACTAACAATAGCCTATTGTTGCCAGGAGGCCTTATGGATGACATAGCTGATTAACATGTATTTTGTATGTTATACGTATTAGATAGTGTATTCTTACAATAAAGTAAGCTAGGGAAAAGAAAATGTTATTAATAACAATGAAGAGAAAATACATTTATAGTACTGTATTTATTGAAAAAAGCTATGTATAAGTGGACCCACACAGTTCAAACCCATGTTGTTCAAGGGTCAACTGTACGTTTGTTCCTATTAGGAAAAAAGTATTCAATAGTAAAACCAAGAGCTCTACAAAGTTTTAAAATCACATCTCCATTCTTATTTCATTTATATAAAATGATCTGTCCTATACCAGAGACATAAATATTCCTTTCAGGGCTGAGCTACTTTTTTTCTTGATTACCCTGCTACTAAATCAAGCACTCCCACAGAAATCAAGGCATTTGCAAACTTTTATTTCCACTGCTCCAGAGAATTTAATCTTAGACCATCCTAATACCAAGATCTTTGTTAGAAACTGTAGATGCCTTCTCTGATGCAGCTTTGGGCTGGGAACTCTGGGAGCTCTGAGCATTGGGCAAACACGTCACACATATATAAGCAGGCCACCTTACACAGCCCACCTCAAGAGTACTAATGCATGAAAGGACACTATAAAATAAAGCTCAGGGGAGAAACCAGAGCTGAACCATGGGACTAAACTGTCAACTGAAGTCTACTAATCCCTTGGACTTTTTATAGATGGGCTCCAAGAATATTTGGAGGCTATTCATCAGTACAATTATCATAGAGGAAAACACAGAAGACCCTCCTTCCATAAATAAATATAATAATATCAAGGAGAGACTAGGGAGCTCTAAAAAAACAAAACAAAAAATTAATCAGATCAAACTAATTCTGAATTTATTGTAAATTTACCAAAGTGGGCTGAAATTCACCTTTGGAACATTCTTTAAATTTATTTTTTCTAAACAAACTTCATAAAATTGCAAAAGCAAAGATTTACCTAAGACCAGTTGATATTCAAGTCACTTCTGGTGATATCTACCAACTGATTCTTATTTATAAGCAGATCAGTATTTTCTTCATTACATTGCTCCAGACATAAATTACTATTTATTACGTGAAAAGGGAAAAAAAGAAGAAGAAAAGAAAATGGTACATATTAGAAAAAATTTTGGAATCCATTATTTAACTGACGGCCTTCTCCAACCAGTTTGTCCAAACTGGAGATCTTACCATCATGTATTTGGGGACAGAGGATACTTTCCAGGCAACTTCCAATTTCTAACTCATTACTGTCTGCCCTTTTGTTAAGATATTACTTTTCAGTGGTGTTGGTGTCAATCCAATTAGCTGCTGTGAAATGAAATGGCATGGGGAACAGATAAGGGCAGCAAATTCAATTAGGCTTTTTGTGTGTTACTACAACAATAATTGAAGAAGAAACCATGTTTAATTCCAGGTCCCAGGCTAAAATATGAATTCTCTGGCAATGACTTTATAAATTAAAAAAAAAAAAATCACTTGCCCAAGACTTCATCGGAGAAAGAAAAAAAAAAAGATCAAAAAGAAAGCAGCCAAAGCATTCTTCCTTCTGTATGAATTTTGAAACATTCAAAAGTAAAAGAAAAAAAAAGGTACCTCTTTGAATACTCTGAAATTATGAAGCACACACAAAAATTCTTTTGGTTGCTGAAATTTCTAAGCAGTAATATTTGTTTAATTGCTTGGCACGGGCCATTCTAATAACGGCAAATCAAGATTCCTGGCAGTAGATGTTAATCATTAATGGTGACATGCCTTCTAATAGTGGTTCAAAACCAGGTGCATGCACCCAATGCACAAAGACAGACACATGAAGATAAGAAGCCAGGAATTTAGGGAGGAACTGCTATCTGTGGAGGCTGCAGTTTACTGAGTAATGCAGAGCACAGCCAAGTTACTGACCATTAATTCCAAGTCTGACGCCTCCTACCTTAAGCAATCAGTGAACAAGAAAGGGAGATAGTGCACGTACACTGTGCTTTTGACTCTGTCAAAAAAGAGGCAGTTAGAAACCTTTAAGGAAAAAAAAAAGCATTATATATTCCCTTTAATTTTAAGTCAAAGGCTCACAAGATACCATGAATGCCATTATTTTCAAGGGGCACTGCACAAAAAGAATATAAAAAGAAAAAGCAAAGACATCACCAGAGGATAACTCAAAAGTGAATCCAAAGAGTAATAAACTACTATAAACCCCCAAAATGGAGAAAGAGCAGACATGATTTCTGAAGCATGCTTTTTGACTTTTACACCACATATATAGTAAGAATTAACTCACTCGATATGCTTCTATCCTGCAGTGTCATTAATAATTACCAACAATTTAAAATAAATGAAATAGATAAAAATCATAATTATTAATAATATAACCTCTAAACTGTAAATTCTGTGATTTATTTTTCCTCAAAGTCCACTCCCATGCCCCAAAATCTTTTTTATTTTTGCTATTAAACATCTAACCTTAGAATTCCTGAGAACAATTTGGGAAAGTGTAAAAAAAAAAAAAAAAAGTATTTTCCCTATCATATTAAGTCAACAAAAAGTATTAAACTTTCCAAGAAATGTATTAATAATATCACTGAAAGTAATCCTTCAACTCAATGCAAGATTTAAAAAGTAATCTGGTCGGGTCGTTTTCAAGCATTTTATTGCTCAGAGAAGCCCAGTTTCCTGACTGTCTGGCCCAGGAAATGGTAGTGGCCACTGGAACCCGTTCTGGTTCCAATCAAAACCACCACTCTCTTCGGCACTTGCCGAACACGGGCACTGCTCTGAGCACTCTACATACAGCACTCAGCAAGCCTCACAGCACCCCCAGGGAGACAGCAGCCTTTCTGTGACATTTCATGGTGAGGAGGGCAGGGGGAGCAGTCCTGGGTCAGCAAACAGTAGAGCCCCAATTCCAGCCAGCCGTCTGGCTCTAGTCTTAACCACTTTGCTAGACTGCTATAGATTTTGGCACTCTGCTATAAACGTATATTTAAAAAAGGGAGGGGGGTCTATCAGAGTTTTTAGAATCCCATTTAGATATCCCCTTAGTCTGTTCGAATCCCTCGAGGGAAGGAAGCCGAATACAGTCTACCGCACTGCTGTCTGCTCTAAGCGTTGGAAAGTTGATTCGGAGACCACGTTTTAATCCCTGGAGCTTTCACCCGAGAAGTCCTACTGCCAAACTCTGAAACGACAGGAAGCATATTTCCTCCCTTCAAGTTCTTCCAGTATTCCACGGTAGCCCCTGAAAGTACCAGCCCCTTCTGCACCCCTTCTGTTCTTTGCTCAGATTGGATGGATCCCCAGGTCCTTCTGTCTTCCAGATCATCCTCCTTGGGAGGCTCTTTAAAACCTGGTGCCGACAATCAAACCCACCATCTAAGGCTGCATTTGCTTGTTTTATATTGTTAAACTTACAAAATACTGAAAGATCCAAGAAGGGACTGAATTACCTACACATCTACTACTTGAAAAAAATGACTTTAGCAGTTTACATATTCCTCTCTAGTCTTTATTTTAATCATTTAAAATTATGAAATATTTAAAACATACTACAATTAGACAGAATAGCAAATACCCATGCACTCACCATCAATGTTTAATAGAGGCTAAGTTTTTAACCTGGTCTGTCTCAGGTCTGCTAAAGCCCTACGTGCGGCTGGCTCTAATCCTCCCCCTTCCCTCTGCAGGTCTGCTGTGCCTCAGGTGCTTTCTGTCCATCCCTTATCTGTATGTTCAGTCTTTTTGTACATTTGAATGGCGTTGTTTTATGTGTTTGATAATTTTACATAAATGGTATCTAATGTAACTATTCTTCTGCAACTCGCTTTTCCCACTCAACCTTATGTTTGAGGTTTATCCATGCTGACACATGTAGCTAGAATCCATTCGTTTTAACTAGTTTGCAGATTTCCACTGAATCAATATACAGCAGTTGAGGTGTCTTCCCTGTTAATGGGTACTGAAGCCATTCCCAGGTTTTCATTTTCCCCAACCATGCCGACGTGAACAACCAAAATTTCCCTGTGCACACATGTGGGAGTCTCTCAAGAACACATAAGCAGCAGTTAAACAGCTGAGTTGTACACCTCTTTGATGGCATACGATTCAGAACAGATTTAAATTCCTTTTTACTTAAAACAGTAATAATGTGATAACGATAATTGCTAATATCACTCACTTATTAGAATACTTATCAGGAGCATATTAAGAAACTTTATGTAGGTTAATTCATTTCATATCTACCTTGTGCTGAGTACTTTGTTCAATGCTATGGATGGAAATGATCAAGAATAAGATAGCACAGCTGATGAACTTATTACCTAGCAGAAAAGGCAAACCAAGAACAATTAAGCAAGTGAATAGTAATGAAGCAGGACTCAGCGCCAACCCCAACAAGGGAAGTGTGGGATGCCATGACACAGTTTATCTGGTGCGTCCCGGTAAGGGAAGGGAGCTATGAAGGACTGACAGTAAAGGATCCAGCAATTGTGAGCTGGGACCAAAAGCAAGGGAGAGAACAGTATTCTGGACAGAGAAGAGAATGTACACCAAAACCAAAGGTCAAGAGCACGGCATCAGAGGAACCAAAAGAAATTCAGTATGATTGTGACAAAGTGAGGCTAAATATGTTAGGACAAAGGAAATTAATAAGGGAAGGGACTGGCCATTGAAGAAGGATGCTCAGCTCTGCATCTGCCCTGTAGAAGAGTCCCTGGAGGTGGTGGGGAGGGAGCAAGACTGGATGCAGAGCACCCAGGTGGGATGCTGCCACAGGGAGGCAGGTGGGAAGGGATGAGGGGAGGGGTTCCCACTGCTGGGCTCTGTCACAGAGGAGACCACCAGAAACGTCTTCTAAGAACTGTAAGACTGGTACCTATGAGAACAGCAATCCCATTATAAAAAAAAAAAAAAGGAGAAGGAGAAGAAGAAGTAGTAGTAGTAGTAGTAGTAGTAGTAGAATCAAGGAGGATTGGGCAGGCGATGAGGAGTAGGTTCTGACTTCAGTGTCCAGAGGGAAAATGGTGCCAAGATACATAGCCGGCCCCTTTTAAAAACCTGTCAACAAGATCCCAAATCCCTAGCCTGGCCTTCTAAGGACCTCAAGGATACAGACTGTCATATCCATCTTTGTATCCCAGGACTCTAACACTGCTCCCAGCCCACAGTACACAGTCAACACTTGTTTGCTGGGGAAAACAAAACATGACCTTGAAACTCAGACCAAGGTCCCCAGAGACACATTTTTAAATTATATGTATTTTTAAGGAAACCATTTGCACCTTGGGGGGTACCTACGACATGCCTCGTATTAATTTCCAGCTCAGCAAGGCAATGGTGGGTGTCAGCTACTCAAGAACAGAATGTGGGCATACAGTGTCTTGGTACTGCACACAGAATTATATATTCTAGCTCAAGAAATGCTTATGCACATACATCCACACCACACCTTGTTATTCCCTCTTCTGCCCTGACCTTTGCACTTGGGCTGACTGCAAGCCTTCGGTGTTACGGTCAATGGAAAAGTCTAGAGATGTAACAGAGAGCCACACCATACAAGGCCAAGTAACTTTAACATGGGGGAATGATTCTCTGCCATGTTTCAATGTCGTAAATTGGGATTGGCTAGTGGACTCTATTTAGCGAAGCATTACTGCCCTCTTCAAAAGAATTCTACCATTTCAGAATCACAAATGTATGAGGCATAAAAATTCCTTCCTGGACAATTACATGGCTTCATAAAGGTTATCAAAAGCCTGCAATGTTGGACTTTGTCCAGACATTTATTGCACATACAACAGAATTTAACTTATTGAACAATTACACACTTGATGAACAGAATAAACCTTGATTCATCAAAATGCTCAAGTGCTACAGAAGTATCTTTTAAAAAGTGAGTACTGCCCTTGTAGCACAGAGCCATGCCATAACAGTGGGGTCCTTCAGGGCTGTGAGGTCGGTCTATAACCAAGGGGGACCATGCCAACTGAACTCACTTCCCAACTAGTCTGCCTTCTGATCCTGTGTGCCTTCACTTCTCACATGTCACTTCGCATGTGGAGGCATAAATGCAGTTTCAGCACAGTTAACATACATGTTTATTTTGTGCTTCTTAAAATTTACAAACCAACCAGAGCTTAACTCATCATATTAAAAAGTTAAAAAATTACACACTTTTCCACTTTCTCCAACAAAGCAATGCCTTGGAGATAAAAGGATGGGCGTGTGTGTGTGTGTGTGTGTTTGTGTGTGTATGTTGGGGGTGGTCTAGCATAAAAAAGGCTTTAAAAGACATAACCAAAAACTATAAAAAGACACCTTTGAGACAAACTGTGACATTTGAATATAGAATATTATATGATATCAAGGAATTGCTATTACTTTTTAAGGTAATAATGGCAAAAAAGTTATTTCTAAAATTCTTACCAGTGAGAGATGCACATTGAAGACTTAAGGGTCAAATGACATGAGTCGAGGATTTAATTTAAGGTTCCCATTTTTTAAAAAGGATGATAATGGGTAAAGGAGATAAACAAAATTACAAAATATTGACAATTACTGAAGTTGGTTAATTTATACAAAGGGTTTAGTATGCTATTCTTTTTTTTAATTTGTTTTACTTTTGAAAATTCCCTTAATAAAAGGTTGTTTATGTTCTAATTACACATTTCGAATACAGTTTTGTTTTGTTTTGTTTTGTTTAAACTGGAAGGTAAGAATCAATAAAGATTCATGCCTGAAAGTCTTTTATAATAACGCTAACAGTGTTCTTTTTTTTTTTTTAAAGATTTTATTTATTTATTTGAGAGAGAGAGAATGAGAGCCAGAGAGCACGAGAGGGAAGAGGGTCAGAGGGAGAAGCAGACTCCCCACCGAGCAGGGAGCCCGATGTGGGACTCGATCCCGGGACTCCAGGATCATGACCTGAGCCGAAGGCAGTCGCTTAACCAACTGAGCGCCCAATGCTAACAGTGTTCTTGACTCACGTTTTCCATAATCTTCATAGATGTGGGTACATTATGCAATTAATACAGATCTCTCACCTTTTCCTTTGTTCTCAGTTCATCAAACATTTGTTGAATTTCTAGCTTCCAGTCATCTTGCATGGAATGAAAAGATTCTTGAGGCATTTCGGTCATAACCGTCCCTTCAATAGCTGTCAGTTGTTCAAGAATTAAGGCAAATGAAGGACGAATGTGAGGGTCTTGTTGCCAGCACTCTAAAATCAACAAGAACCCCATTAATTCTGTTTCTTGACATAGTTCAGATTATCAGCCCATGCAGATGGGTGTAAAATTTGCTGAAGATTTTAAAAATCAACTGATAATGGTTTTGAACATTTTATTTTACACAGTGACCAGGCTGGTGGCATGCATAACATTTACTATTAGGTAAGGCTCTTGTTGTTTATCTTGTGAGGTCCATACCTTACCATGAACTCTGTTTCAGGGGCCTAAGCTGCACTAGCCAGGTGATTTACAGATACAGAGTTCTCGAACTCGAGCCAAGAAAACCAAAGTTTCTAAAAGGTTATAACCACAAGAGAGGTTCTAAGAAATGGCCTAATAATGAAGGAAGGTAACTAGCTGCTTGCAAAAGGAGTCACTTAATTTTTAAAAGACAAGCATCAAATAGATAAGGTCATGGCAAAACAGGGCCGGTTAAGATCATTAAACATTTTTGATCATGAGGTAGAATTTAAAATAGCAGAATGAAGCCAATTCAATTTTGTCTTTGAGCGCTACTGGTGTAACTTGGTGAAAACTTTATTACCAGTTGGTTAAATTTTGTACATAAATGTGTCACTGATAAAACTAGATTGGTTTTTAAAAAGTTACTTAATCCATCAATACTTTACCTGACATCTTAGATTGAAGACAAGGTTTCTAATTCATAAAATAGTATAGTTGCTTATAAGTGTTTGAAAATTAGAATCACAGAAATTACTCTTTTGGTTAAAAAATATACATTCTCCTGAGCAAATCCCCTTGCCTCTGTAGACACACAGAAACTGACCTTTCATGAGCTTGGCAAATGGCTCAGGGCAGGTGGATGGAATGGGCAAAGTGAGCTTATTGACTGCTACCCCATAAGCCACGGCAAGCCCATCGATGCCACGGTAGGGGACTTCTCCCGTGAGCAGCTCCCACAGCAGGACTCCATAGCTGCAAAGCAAAACTGCCATAAAGTCACATGGGTTAAATGATGTCTTTTCCTTATGACACAAATGGTGGGATAAATGCATCAGAGCCCTCATCCAGCTCTGATTAAGAATCTTCTCTTCCAACTAAACCCTTAAGTGGCACGTATCCCAAGGTGGGAGGTGGGCTCTTCCAGTGAACTTCCCAAATGCATGTAAGTACACACCTTCCCAGAAATCAGTTATGCATTCATGACAGGAATTAAAACTACCTAATGAATAGGAAAGTGTAGGAGCAGTACATAATTGAATTAAACCAGGTCCAGAACCAGGTCACACTTTAATGTGGTGGTTTTGATGTTTCTCCTTCTATCTCATTTTTCTACACCAGAATTAAACCTCTTGAGGATTGTCAGGACACTGAAGACTCTAACCCCACAGAAATCTCATCCTATGCACCACAGGACTTAGATCAAACCATGCTATTTTTAAATGGTTTTTTTTTTTTTGAAACTGTTTATCTTTCTGCCTCTCCCTTCATATTTTCTACCATATTGCTTAATAGTTACGGACAAAAAAAATCAGCATGGGCCTTCTTGCGCCTGCTGGTGGGACAAAACACATCTCTGTAACTTTGTATCCGTTAGTACCTTAGTTTCCCTTTATCTTCTTCAAAACATAAAGTACAAATTATCTTTTGTTAATACATAAATTATCACTCACTCCAGACATCCCATGTGATTTTAAATGGAAATACACAGGCATATAAGCAACAGTCATATTTATTTTTTTAAATTTACTAACATAACTAGTACATTCCTATTTAGTTTTCTAATTTTTAAAAACATTAGCTTTAAGTTTTAAAAAAGTTTGAAATTTAGAGTAGTAACTTAATTCTCATTTCTCATAGTTTGTTGCTTATATAGAACATTAAAGCATCATTTTAAAGATAGCAGACAGAAGGTAGTAAAATACATCTAAAGGAAAGGCAGAACAGCTCAGAATAATGCCAAGAAAAGCATTTAAATTTGGCTATGGAATTAAATTTGTCTGAGTCTCATCTGATTATCTTCTGATCTAAAGAGATATGGGGACTCGGAGCATCACGACTATAATAGAACAGAACTTCATCTCTGAAGACCTGGTCTGCAAAGAGCTGGAAATCTAGACTCCAGCTTCAGGTCATCCCAGATATGATAACCTCTCATTTGAAAAGCTCTCCATCAGTGCCTATTGGACCCTAGACTATCTACTGAAAACTTTCAGAATAAGAATTTAGAAATGACAGAATGTGCCCAATCAGTGGGGCCTCAGGGATCCTCCAGCTGATGTTCCACCAGCTCTAAGTGAAGGTGTTTGAGTCCTGAGGACCCTGGGTCCAGGGCTCCTTCCCTGAGCAGGTGGAGGACCAGGGCACCAGTGAAAGGCAGCTGCATCTGGAAGCTGCAGACTTGAGTTTGGGGAGTATCACTACTTACTAGCTACGTCTCCACTTACAAAGCCCTTAACAGCCGATCATGAATTAACTGATCTATAAAGTAATAGTGATGTCTGCTTTGCCATCTCAAAGCACTGTTTTATATTGAAAAGAAGGGGAATCTATAGTACAGGGCTTTTAAATTATATTATGCTATCACTATTAGCAATTAAGTTGGATCCAGTATTTTCCAAAGGTAATGACCTGTTTAGTTCCTTAAAAATTATCTACATTACAGTGCCTTAGCAGAGACACTTTAATTGCAAGAATAAGTAAATTTAACTCATAGATCAATCAACAAAAATCACCTCAGAGAAAGGGACGAAAAAAAATCCTGAAGATAACTGAAAACTGTCTAAATTCAAAGCCACTTCCTTGCTATTCTCTTTAGCACATAACAAAACTAAAATAAACAATAACCAACAACATAACTTTGTTTCTTGGGAGTTTCAGTGAACAAATAATTTAAGACAGGTCATTTTTCTAGAGAGCAGAGGGCTTATGTTAAAAATCCATGTGTTAAAAAAAATGGAAAAAATAGAACTATTTTGATGCGGCTATTTACAGAATGTAATGCATTTTCTTTTGTTCTCCCAAACGGGCTAGGATACAGTAAAAATAAAGCGATCTCCTGAGAACTCAGGTAACCTGATAAGCAAGGGCTGTGGTTGCAGGAACCTGGCTCCCAGGCCTGGGATGTGAGTATAACTACTTACTAGCTTTATAACCCTGAGGAAATGTCTTAATGTCCCAGTGCCTTGGTTACCTACTCCGTGGAAGTGCGGTAATCTCAGGAGATACTGTAAAAATTCAGTGACAGCGTCTGAGTTACTTTGTGCTGTAATAACCAGGAAGGAGGAATAAGGGTGAGAGATGATCAGTGAACATGCTACTTAACGCACCAGTCCGTATGCCAGAATACTAGTCCGCTGCACAGAGTAAAGTAACCTCTCTGGAATGAAATTATTTTTCTGTGAACGTTATAAAGGGAGATTCTAGAGCAAAGCAATGTGCAATTCAGAGCGGGGGCCACACCCGCTTCCACACCCTGACGTCCAAGGGCTCGAGTATGCTTCACCGGATTCACGCATGCTCCAGGTGGGTGGGGACGCTTGGCTCCACAGCTAGGCGGCTCTAGTGGCCACTAGTTTCTACTCCTTTCCACAGAATCTCATGCTTTGTTTCTTCCTAATACCTACTTTGTTTTCAGCTGTCAACTTTTACCAACTTAGCAACTCTCTCCCCTCTTCTAACTAGCTGCTTTTACTGAAAATCAGACAACTGAACTTACAAAACAGAAATAAACAGATGTGGAAACAATCAATGAAACTAAAAGGCAGCCTATGGAAGGGGAGGAGATATTTGCAAATGACGTATCTGATAAAGGGTTAGTGTCTAAAACTATAAAGAACTTATCAAACTCAACACCCAAAAATCAAATAATCCAATTAAGAAATGGGCAGAAGAGATGAACAGTCATGTTTCCAAAGAAGACGTCAAGATGGCCAACAGACACATGAAGAGATGCCCAACATCACTCATCATCAGAGAAATACAAATCGAAATCATGATGAGATATCACCTCACACCTGTCAGAATGGATAAAATTAATAACACAGGAAACAACAGGTGTTGGCGAGGATGCAGAGAATGAGGAACCCTCTTGTCCTGCTGGTGGGAATGCAAGCTGGTGCAGCCACTCTGGAAAACAGTATGGAGGTTCCTCAAAAAGCTGAAAATAGAACTACCCTAAGATCCAGCAATTGCACTACTAAGTATTTACCCAAAGGATACAAAAATACACATTCAAAGGGGGTACATGCACCCCAATGTTTATAGCAGCATTATCAACAAAGCCAAACTGTGGAAAGAGCCCAAATGTCCATCAACTGATGAATGGATAAAGAAGATATGGTATATATATACAACGGAATATTACTCAGCCATCAAAAAATTAAAATCTTGCCATTTGCAGTGAGGTGGATGGAGCTAGAGTATATTATGCTAAGCGAAATAAGTCAGTCAGAGAGACAGGTACCAGATGATTTCAGTCATATGTGGAATTTAGGAAACAGAACAGATGAACATATGGGAAGGGGAAAAAAAAAGAGAGGGAAGCAAACCATAAAAGACCCCCCCATTTTTTTTTAAAGATTTTGTTTATTTATTTGACAGAAAGAGAGAGAGAAAGAGAAAGCACAAGCCAGGGGAGAGGTAGAGGGAGAGGGAGAAGCAAACTCCGCGCTGAACAGGGAGCCAGACATGAGGCTCGATCCCAGGACGCCGGGATCATGACCTGAGCCAAAGGCAGACATTTAACTGACTGAGCCACCCAGGCGCCATAAGAGACTCTTAAGGATAGAGAACAAACTGAGGGTTGATGGAGGGATGTGGATGGGGGAGGGGCTAGATGGGGGATGGGCATTAAGGAGGGTGCTTGTGATGAGCACTGGGTGTTATATGTAAGTGATGAATCACTAAGTTCTACTCCTGAAACCTAAATAAATAAATAAATAAATAAATATTTATTTATTTATTTATTGCTATATAATCACCGTAAAAAAAAGACACAGATTTTGAGAGAAGATATCTCCAATGAGTGTACTGAAGAAAAGGCCTGCATTCTCTGTCACGCTCAGTTACTGAAAACTCTGGGACTCATTTAAAGGGAGTGTAGCAACCATTTTCTGCAGCCATCTGCAAAAGCAAAAAGCATGGTGCTTACCTCCAGATGTCACTTCCCTTGGAGAACAAGGAAGACTTGATGACTTCCGGTGCCATCCAAGCATAGGTGCCCGCTGCGCTCATCTTGGTAGTCTTGTGCCATTCTCTTGCCAGCCCGAAATCTGTAATCTTCAACGTTTTATTGCAGAAGTCATCATGTTCTATCTTCTCAAGCAGCAAAACTAAAAAAATTTTTAAAAAATCAAAGGTGGGTTATTTCCATATTCCTATAATTTTCTAGTCACACTGTTTCCTTGGTATTTAAGACAGAGCCTTCACCTCAGTGAGCAGAGTATTTTACCATCTGGCCTTCCTCACATCACCAAATCACCACCTTTACTGGTGCCTGCGGTTATAAGTTTTTTTGTTTGTTCGTTTGGTTGGTTTAAATCCATAGGCACAACATGGCTTAGCACTCTTTATGAATGCTTCTTTTCATGAGAAAGTAAATGATTTCTAGGGGCAAGAAACATTTATTGCGGTATCATGGATAGGGTCAGAAGTCGGTGAGAGTTTCCCTGGTAAGAATATATTGTTTTCTTCCTAGAAGTTAGGTCCTGATCTAAATGCAGAGCCTTTTCTACTGAAGGTATTCAAGAGTATCGCAAGCAGATGACATGTCACCATAAATCCTTATTATCAAACAGTATCTTATAGTAAACTTGCAAAATGCTTATACATTTTTAACTCTTAAAGGTATTTTATGAGATATGATTGCTTTACTAAAGCTCAAACCATAGCAAGAAGTAGAAACTTTAGAGAAACATCATCTGGATGCCTGTTTTCCTAGCCCCCCAGCCTCCTGACAAAATTCAGAGCTCAAGAGCGACTTCCGGGAGCAGAACTACCACCAGAGTCCGTGCCTGAGCTCTCACGCAACAGTAGCTAAAATAACCATGCTTCTCCCTGTCTCCCCACCTGCCCCCGCATACTCTGCCCTTCCCAGCACTTGGGGTTCTTCTCTCCTCTCCCTGGTTGATTCTCCTCTGCCTACAACCATGCAGAAAGTTCCCTGGGTTTTCCATGGGGCTCTAATGCAGCCCCCTAACCAGATTCTTCCTTCCCATTTGCTACAAAGCGGCAGCTTTAAACCTACTGTTTTTGCTACCTTTTCTCACTCCTTCCTTAAAATCCTGCATTCCAACTCACAGCTCCACTGTTCCACTTCAACCGAATCCCCGCCGTGTCCACTTCCCCTGCCATGACATCGCTTCTGGCCTCATTGCCACACACAGGCATGACGATTGTCCTAACCAGACAGGATAATGCATCTACAGCAGATCCACTGTCCTAAAATGGCAGAGCTTTCCTTAGTTTTTAAACCTTCCACACACACACAAACTACCAATATATCCAACACCATGGATGAATCTTAAAACCACCACGCTCGGTGAAAGAAGCCAGACGTCAAAGGTTACAGATGATGATTCTATGTGTATTCTGGATGAGATCAGGGCTTGCCAGAGGCTCAGGGCAAAGCTACACAAGAGAACTTTCTGGGGTGATGCAAACTCTCCATCTTGGTGGTAGTGGTGGTTACAGGATTATATATATATACATATTTGTCAAAACTCATCAAACTGAACACCCTGAGAGGGTGAATTCTACTGTATGTAAGTTATATGGTAATAAACCTGCATTAAAGACACACCAACTTTCACGGTTCCGCGTAACTCAGAGAGAATGGCTCTCTCCCAAACTGCGGCCACCATAGCCTCTACATCTGCACAACAACCTACACTTCACCCTACACCATGTGTTTCCTCCACTTCAACTGCTCATCCAGCCCAAATAGCGCCCTCTTGGTGAAACCTTCCAAACACCCCTAAGCAAAGGAAATGATTCCTGCCTCCACACTCACGTGACCCTGTGTTTCTATTGCAGCCCTTACAAAGCATAAGGTACGAGGAGTACTTGTTTTCACCTCTGACTTCTCCACCACACTATTAGCTCTGAGACAGTGAGTGTATGAGTGAGGGTGAGGGTGAGAGAGTGAGTGAGTGAGTGAGAGAGAGAGAGAGAGAGTTGGCAGGGAGAGGAGGACAATGGGGACAAACATGTTCGGTTCACATTCCTGTTCACGTATCTATTCTGTGTCTCATCTCATTCAGAGCACGTGCTGAATGCTCTCAAATGAACACAACATGCACATTCTTATACTTGCCCTTTGCTCATGCCAATCCCATCTAATTGAAATGAACAAGAAATGAATAAGAGAGTGGCTAACAAGTGTGGCATTTTCCTAGATGTCTTGCACATATCCATTATTTCATTCAATCGTCACAAAAATCCCAAGGCATAGGCCTTCATTATCTGAAGACAATTAGTACTGAAAAAAATAAAGCAACAGAATGAATCCACTTAAACAGTAATCCAAATTTCAGAGTAAAGAGGGCATATGTGGGATTATTATTCAGGTTTTACCTTGAAAAATAAAATGAAAATAAGTCTATTTTATCTTTTGGTTTTTTAAAAAAGGACGTTTGCATCACTGCTGTAACTATGTGCTAACTCTTAGAAGGATAAAAACAAAACACATGTGGGAGGTCTTTTAGAATAAATTATCCAAACAAAATTGGAAAATAGCATAAGACATTCTTCTTTCTTTGATTTTTGGAACACGATCATAAAGAGGACCATTTTCCCAAATGTTAGTTATAAGAATAATGAACATTTACCAAGTATACTCTATCTGTCGAATGCATTTACGGCTATTTTAATCATAAAGTCCACACCGCAATACAATAGGTATTTACTATTTACTATCTGCACTTTATAGATAAGGAAGCTGAGACATAGGTGTTGCGTAAGCGGTCCAAGGTCACATGGCTAAGGAGCCATGAAGCTCCAACAGTCTGACCCCAGAGACATATACTCTTAACTACTGTCAACACTGCTTAGAGGATAGCTTTTATCAGTTTTTCAGGAGAGCTTTCTTTATCCTTTGGAAATCTCTCTTCATTCAGGTGCCCATTCTCTTCTTTCTGATTTCCTATCATTGGAGAATGACTACCTGATCTCAGTGGAGGCAGTATGGTGGAGTAAGGAAGGATGTGCACTCCTGGGCCACACTACTTGGTTCGGATTCCCTGCTTCTGTTTCTTTGCCTGTCACGGGAATTGTGATAATAGGTACATCATGAGGCTGTAGTGAGCAAGAGATGAATACATATCAGGTGCTTAGAATAGTGCCTGAAAGAGCATTTTGTGAAGATTACACACACACACACACACACACACACACACACACACACACCCTTTTTATCAATAGGCTTGAAAGTGTTTCTAGTAAGTCTTTCAAAATCATTTTCATGGACTTTGGGGAATCCTCTTTTTCAAGACTTGAAATTTCACTTTGCAATGGATTCTTATTTTGTTTGCATTATATCGTCAAATGTTTACAATATTAAAGTCATAAAAGTCAAAGAGTTAATGCAACTGGAAAGAGCCAACACTAGATTTAAACATGAAGAGGTGTATGAGTGGAGACTTGCATAAGTTGCCAATACTGAATAAATATTGCTGTGTTGTAACATTTCTTTCCCCACTGACCTTCTAAAGATGAGATTTAGAGAGCAAGAACCCCCTGTTCTATTTTTTTTAAAGATTTTATTTATTTATTTGACAGAGAAAGACACAGCGAGAGAGGGAACACAAGCAGGGGGAGTGGGAGAGGGAGAAGCAGGCTTCCTGTGGAGCAGGGAGCCCAATGCGGGGCTCCATCCCAGGACCCCGGGATCATGACCTGAGCCGAAGGCAGATGCTTAACGACTGAGCCACCCAGGTGCCCCCCACCTGTTCTATTTTTATATCCATTACATAGATGATGGATCAGCTTTAAGGTGGTTTATATGTCTGCTCACGGTTACACAGTTGATAAGTAGCAAGGCCAAAATTCTACCATTTTTCCTGCTTGTAATCTCAATGCTATACTATAAAGTGAAGTTTGGAGGAGGGTGGGGGGGAGACTCACTTCTGTTTGGAATAGCCCCTTATTCTTTCTGTTCATCTACACTGTACCTATTCTCAAGGCCCAGCTGCCTTAGGAAAACCTTCCAGAGCATCCTACAAAATAGGGACTATTTTATCTTCCCAGTCATCCATTACCCACATATTATGTTGTTTTGTCCATTATCTTTTTACATAAGACTTATTGCCCTAAATTATATATGGAGCTACTTACTCCTAGGAACTGAATTTTACAGATTTCCCCTGTGTCCCGCAAAATCACCTAACAAAGTATCCTCTACATTGACTGCTCAGTGAAATAGTTGATATTAGTGATAATTATCACTAGTTCTAATACTAAGAATATTGCCTACCACTTACTGATCCTCTTCTATGTATAGTCGTTTCACACATTTAATATCTCTTTTCATCTTCACACCATTCTATGAAATGGGAATTGTAATCTCCAGTTCACAGTCTAGAAATGTTATCCAAAGGCATGTGGCTACAATCCAGAGCCAGATTTCAGATCCCATCTCCAGATGATTTCCCCAGTCTTTGGCAAAACTGATAAAGCTACTGGTTGTGAGAGGGGGCAAAACAACCAGATATTTCATTTTGTAGATTGCTGAAGAGATTAATTTTCTGAACTTTCCTTCCTTCCACATCAGCTTAGAGTATATTTATTTCTCAGTCCTTACTCCTCATGAATATCAAGAAAAACAAATATCTAGTCCCTTAAAACCCTAAATACTTAAACTACAGAAACAAACAAAAATCAAATTAATCAGCTACTTCATCAGCAATATTACATTTCTCCACTTATACTACTACTAATTTCACTTTTAAACAATGGTTATTTTTACCACCAAAAAGAACCCTAAATTAATGCTCAAAATGGCTTGTAGTTCTATCAAACTTTGTTTTCCAAGACATTTTCCCATGTGTCCTTCACCCTTACAAACATCCACATAGGAAGGCATGAGGAAGCACTGATTAAAACAGGCATAAAAAAGACTGTCCCTCCCCAGACCCCAGGAAGACCTGGCAGCCCTTGAGAAGCAAAGGCCAAGAATGCCCCGAAAATAAGTGAAAATAGAAATAAAAGTGAGAACTAACAAAGAAATATTTAAAATGGATCGCTTTCTAAATAAATGTCAGGGCACAATGTGCTATGAGCAGCCTTTGTACTGATGGTTTCAGAGCGTACCCCCTACCCGCCCCCCCAGTCCAAA